AGCTCAGCGGGCTGGAGCCTGTCCCGGAGGACGTCGGGCCTCCCACCTCCACCCCTCTCGCAGCGGGTCCCGGGGCGCTGGGTGCCTGGCCCTGCAGCAGAGGTACCCCAGTACCCAAGTGACACGCTGGGCGGCGACCGGGGTGTGGGGGGTCAGGTGTCCTCGGGCTGCCCAGGCCCCTCGGTGTGAACTGGAGAGGTGGGCCCTGGCCGCCCGCCCCCCTGGGGGGCCCTGCCGGTCACAGCTAGGGTCACTCTGCAGGAGGTGGGGCCAGACCCCCACCCCCCCCACCCAGGGGCAGCAGGCCTCTGCCCCAGGCCACCCTCAGCCCTAGCAGACTGCCTGGGGCGCACAGGACCCCCAGCCCCTCCCCAGGAGCCCGGAAATCACCTCACTCCCTGCAGACAGACGCGTGTGGGCGTGCCCGGCGCGCCCACCAGGACCCCCTGCTTGGGGTCCCCGGCCAGCTGGGCAGGCCTCGGCAGCTGCTCCGGGCAAAAAGGCTGCAGGCGGCCCCAGGCCCGCGCCCGCCTCCAGCCCCAGGGCCCCACCGACGCCCCCTGCCCCCAGCAGAGGTGGGGGGGCTTTCCCAGCAGGGCGAGGGGTGGGGGTGCAGGGGATGCTGTGGCCGGAAGCACTTCTGGGAAGAGTTGGCCTCTGAGTCCTTATCTGGGGTTCATCAGACCCTGAGCCCAGGCTGCGGTTGCATGGACTGGCTGGGGGGCAGCTCCGGGGCTGGGGGGGCAGCCTCGAGGGGGCGGGGGGCCTCGAGGGGACCTCAAGTGGGCTGGGGGACCTCGAGGGGGCCTCAGGGCCTTGGGGGCTCGAGAGGGGGCCAGGGGGCCTCGAGGGGGCCTCAAGTGGGGACCTGGGGGGCCTCGAGGGGGCCGGGGGACCTCCAGGGGGCCTGGGGGAGCCTCGAGAGGGGGCGCACCCGGGGCTCTGCCGGCCGAGGGGCTCCACACAGCAGCTGCCCCAGGGGGCCCCTCCCGGGGCCCCAGCTCGGAGATGCCGGTGGGGCCTCGCGCGGCTCCAGTGGACACCCCAGAGCCGCAGGCCCCTGGGCAGGGGCGTCTGCAGGGAGGCGCCAGGCGGCACGCGAGCGGGGCGGGTGTTGGGGAGGGGGCGCCGGCGCCCTCCCACACCTGTCCGGAACCCCATCCTGCCTGCGTCAGCCGGCCCCCGCGTGACGCGCAGGTCGGGGCGCTGCGGGAAGTTCCAGGCTGAGTCAG